CCCCAGGTTGGAAGCCAGCCTGGGCTACATGGTGAGGCCGTCTCGAAACGTTTTTCTTTAAGTACCGAGGTGGGTGGCAAAACCTCAAACCTCAGAGGAACAAACCAGCCCAGTTCCCAGGCCCTCACAGGCATGCCGGGGTGCCTAGCCCCACACCTGGTGCTGTGTCCTCCCCTATCGGGGTGGTAACAGAAGGGGCTGAGCCGTGACTGTGATGTCCTTGGTTTCTAGGAAATGAAGCTCTGAGGAAGCTTCTGGGGCACCCCTGAACCCCAAACAGACTGCAGCACCTAGCAACACACTTCCCTTTTCCAGGGGCCCGAGCTCACTGGCGGCCCAGCCGAAGTTGGTGACGTGGGGTGGGGTTATAAATAGACGGAATATAAGCAGCTGCAGGCACTGCGTGCCCAGCCTGCCCCGCCAAGCTCTCAGTCCGTGGGTCCCCAAGATTGTGGGGCAGTGAGTGGCAGCGGGAGGGGCTGAGGTGCTTAACAGGACAATAGCAATAGTGTTTTGTTTTGTTGAAACAAGGTCTCACTATGTAGTCCAGGCTGGCCTTGAACTCAGAAATCCTCCTCCCGCAGGTCCTAATATTTTAAAAAATAATTTTATTATTATTTTTTTGTGGTACTGGGGACGGAATCCAGGACCTCACACATGCCCACTCACAGCTCCTGTCAACGATTAACACAACGGGCATGAAGGCTCCGTGGAAAAGTTCACACTACCTGAGCAGTACATAAAGCGATCTGAATAGAATCCAGCCACGAAAAGGAATTGCAGAGGGAGCAATGGGGTGGATGGGTCTCCATGATACACTCTATAGCAGGCCTAGGATAGCGGCTCAGTGGCAGAGCAAGTGTTTAATATGACAAGCTTCAAGCCAGGCGTGGGGGCACACGCCTGTCATCCCAGCACTCGGGAGGCTGAGGCAGGAGGATCGCTGTGAGTTCGAGACCAACCTGGGCTACATAGTGAGTTCTCCATCAGTTTCAGCTACACAGTGAAACCCTGTCTCACAAAAAAAACAAAAAAAAACAAAAAACAAAAAAAAAAGACAAGCTGCAGCACGGAAGGAAGGAAGGGATGGAGATAGGTGTCAGGTGTAGTGGCGCCTACCTGTGATTGTAGCACTTGGGAGGCTGAGGCAAGAGAGTCACAAGTCTGCGTTCAGCCTGGGAAACTGAGGACTTAGAGAGACCCCAGTCTCAAAGTAAAAAATAAAAAGCGCTGAGGATGGAGCTCAGTGCAAAGTCCCTGGCTTCAAATGCAAGTACTAAACAAACACGTAAATAAATAAACGGAAAGAAAAGGAAAAGAAACAGGGAGCCGGGCCTGAGACCCTCGGCACCATGCCCTCAGCAGCACAGTCACAAAGCCCGAAATGCACATGATCCCAGCGTCTGTCAGTGGATGAAAGGATGAGCAGAACCCCCCGCCCCGGAATACTATTCAGCTCTGAAAGGGCAGAGGCACAGCCCCACAGCAGCGCGGGCAAAGCCTCAGAAACAGCCTGTGGCACAGCAGCAACATGAAAGGTCGCCCGCCTGAGTCATGCACTGCTCTGTTGGGGCCCGGAAGCCACAGACGCAGATGGGCAGCTGCCAGGGCCAGGAGAGTGGGGAGGACAGCTCGCGGGCATGGGTTTCCAAGACACAGCCTGGAAAGGTACAAGATCCCGATGATGAATGTAACTGTATCGTGCACCCAAAAAGCACCACTAAACCATGAAGAGAGGGAGAGGGAGAGAGGGAGGGAAAGGAAGGAAGGAAGGAAGAAAGGCTGGAGGTGTAGCTTGGTGTTAGAAACAAACCTACCTGGCATGGGTAAGGCCCTGGGTTGAATCTTCAGAACTGCGGAAAAAGCGGGCGGGGGGAGACTTTAAAAAAATGCTGATCGGAGACTTTAAAAAAACACTGTCTCCCAACCCCACTGTGAGCACCCTACCTCACCTAACCTTTATGGCTCACAGATGCCCCCTCAGCTAATCTTTCTGTAGCTCCAAGCATTTTTCCGTCTTCTTTTCCAGGTTTGAGGGTTGTGTAGTCAACAAACCCTGCATGCTGGGTGGTATCTAGGTGCTGCAGATTTGAACATGCCAGAGCCAAAGCTCTCTGCTCTGTGGGGCTGATATCTGTCAGAAGAGTAGACTATGAACGTGATAAATAAACACACTAGGAAAGCCCGGCAAGGTAGCACCTGTAATCCCAGCACTAGGGGGGCTGAGGCAGGAGGATCGCTGATAGTTGGAGATCCCGGGCTATATAGTGAGTTAAAATCCAGCGTGAACTAGGCAGTGAAACCCTGTCTCAAAAAAACAAACAGGGCCGGGAATTTAGCTCAGTGGTTCTGCTGCCTGCCTCGAAAGTGCAGCGCCCCAAGTTTGATCTGTGGTACCAAAAACAAACAAACAAACAAATGAAACTAAGTACACTATGGAGAGTGTTCAGAGTTGGAAAACAGGGAAGGTTAACCAAGGAGAGCAGGTGCTGAGGGTTGCAAACTAAATATTGCTTCAATGGCAGGTGTGGTGGTGGCGCATACCTATCATCCCAGCACTTGGGAGGCTGAGGCAGGAGGATCACCACAAGTTTGAGGCCAACCTGAACTGTACAGAGCAGTCCCACCCGCCTGTCCCCTTAGCAACCCCCACCAAGTCCCGCTGCTCCTGCTCTGGGCCTGGTCTACGCTGGGAAGTGCTGCAGGAAGGCCCCTGGGTCTCTGTACAGAGGGGACACTGAGGCTGGAGGGTGCACAGCTTGCTCAAGATCACACAGACAGGGCCCAGGTTCTGAGCAGGACACCCAGGCCTCACTGCCATTGGCCTGGGCCAGCACAGTCGCCCTGTGGCCCCTGCTCTGTCCCAGGTCCCTCCATGGTCACCGTCATCCCTTTTTGTGTGTATGGAGACAGGGTTTTGCTCTGTACCCCTTGAACTCCCAGCAGTACTCCTGCCTTGCCAGGCAAGGTGGTGCACACCTTTAATGCCAGCACATGAGAGGCTGAGGCAGGAGGGTCAGATAGAGATCGGTTGCAAGCCAGACTGGGCTACACAGTGAGTAGAGTAGGTCCTGTGTCAAAAAACAAAGCAAAGAGCCAGGTGTGGTGGTGCACACCTGAGGCTGAGGCAGGAGGATCGCTGGGAGTTGGAGACCAGCCTGAGCTACATAGTGAGTTCCAGGTCAGACTCAACTATATAGTGAGACCCTGTCTCAAAACAAACAAACAAAAAACCAAACAAACAAAAAACAAACAAACAAAAAGACAAAACCAAAGCAAAGCAAAACAAACAAACAAAAATTCCCTCCTCAGTCTGCTGAGTGCTGGGATTACAGAGTGCACCACAGCACCCATCTCTCATCCTGTCCTCCCTCTTTTACCATGCAGCCGTGGACCTGTTCATCTGTCACCCTATTAATTTGTATCTGCTTTTCATTTTGTTCAATACAGACCCACTCACCGAGTGATTAGCTAACCCTCCAGCCAGACTCCTTCCAGCTGGAGTTACTTGTGCAGCCCTATGTCACACACCCGCTTTGGTTTTTGTTTGTTTGTTTCGGGTGGGGGATGTAGAGTCAAGGCATGGTCTTTCTATGCCTGGGCCATGCACCTATTTTTTAATTAATTATTACCTATTTTTGCAATCCTGGGGTTTGCACCCAGGCCCTCACCTATGTCAGGCAAGGGTTCTACCACTGAGCTACAGCCCCAGCTCTTTTAAAATTTTATTTTCTTTCTCATGTTTTGAGACACAGCCCAGCCTGGCCTTGTACTCATGGAGATCCTCCTGCCTCAGCCTTGTTAGCGCTGGGACTACAGGTATGCACCACCACGCCCAGCTCACTCTTCTTTAGAAGGCAGCCACCTCTTTGCTGCCATTAATCTCCTCCACTTTTTCTCTGACCCCAAGCCCTGACCTTCTTTCTCACTTGTGTGCACAGTGCCACCGGCCTCCCACCACCACCTGTAGTCGTGGCCATGGCTGTTAGGGTTCTGAAGTGCCAGGTACCCAGCTGGTGCTTGGTAAAGCTGAGTAATGAACAGCGAAGTCGGGGCTCATCACGGATCTACCTGCACACCTCTAAAGCGTCCAGGTATCTCCTTGCACTTCTTTCTCCTTTACTGGGGTGCTGGGGATGCAACTCAGGGCTCCCAGGAAGCTGCACCCAGCCCCCATCACATTTTTATTTTCTTTAAAAAAAAATGTTTTTTTTTTGGTACCCGGGGATCGAATTTAGGACCTTGCACTTGTGAGGCGGCACCACTGAGATAAATAAATCCCTGGCCCCCAAGTTGTTTTTTTAAAGCCTGGGACCGTGGTACACGTCTGCAATCCCAGCACTCGGGAGGCCGAGGTAGGAGGATCTCCTTGAATTGGAGGTTGCCTGGGCTGTACAGTGACACCTTGCCTAAAAAAAAGGACTATAACAAATGGGAAAGCTGTTAATTCCAGAGAACACGCACATTCCCCGGAGCTGCCTGACGGAGGAGGCGGGGTGGGGAGGGGTGGCACTTTTGGGGCGTCACCTCGGCCCTCCACTGGATGGCACCTGGCACCGGCACAGGGCAGCGAGCCCCTCTCTGTCCGAGTGTCAGGGGGCGGCTTTTGTACAAGCGTTTCCAGTCTCCACGCCCCACACTGGTGCTGAGGGGGCGAGAGTGTCACTGGGGATTTCTGTGGCTGTGGCTCTGGGGGATGGTGACAAATTATAGCCGCAGGGCCCTCAGGGACACGTCACACCATGACGGCCTCTCGCCCCCAGGTCTACCCTGCCGGGGTGCCGGTCCTGGGGCTCCTCGGGGCTGCCCGGGCATTGCTCAGAAACGTGGCAGCCACTTGTCCTCCAACGCAGTCATTAGAATCCAGGGGCGGACAAATAGCCCTGAGGACAGGAAGAGGGAGCTGCCATCTGACTGTGAGGTCAGCGAAAGTCAAAACCCCAGAGATAGGATCTGTTGGGATGGCTACTATCAACAGCACAGAAACACACGTGGGGGAGGGCAGGAAACTGGAACCCAAGTCGGTGGGAGGGGACCGTGATACAGCCACGGCGGAAAATACTGCGGAGGTTCCTGAGACTTCTTTTATGATAGGGCCTTGGTATGCAGTCCAGGTTGGGCTTGAACTTGCCATGCTCCTGCCTCAGCCTCCAGAGAAATGGGAGTACAGATGTGTGTCGGATTCCTAAAACATTAAACATAAAATTACCATAGACTCGGGACATTCTCCTTGCGGGTATAGACCCCAAAGAACCCCAAAGGGGATTTCGAAGAAAACTCTGTTCACCCATGTTCCTAGCGTGCTGTCTACAACCGGCTAAAGCTGGGAGCGGCCCAGGCGTCCTCAGTGGGTGAAGAGATAAACGCAGCTCGGTGGCTGCATTGGCACATTATTCAGCCGTCAAAAGGAAGGAAATTCTGATGTGTGCTGCAAGACGGATGATGAAGCTTGAGGGTATTCTGCTAAATCACAAAGGACAGCTACCAGCCTGGGGCACAGCCGTCATGGCAGCCACGCAAGAGGCCGAGGCAGGAGGATTGCAAGTCTGACCCTGCCTCAGCAATTTAGTAAGACCCTGCCTCAAACTAAAAAATAAAAAGGGCTGGGGCGGGAGTTCAGTGAGAAGGCCCTGGGTTCCATCCCCAGTCCCACCCATGCAGAAAAAGACATTTACTTAGGCGAAGTATTTCCACTTAAACAAAGTCACTAAACTACAGTAGTCAAATTGATGGAAACAGAAAGCAGAAGGGTGGGAGCCAAGGGCTGGGGAGGGGCTTTCGAGGAGGGTTTAATGGGGATAGAGTTCCCGTTCTCCAAGCTGCAAACGTTCCAGAGGTTGGTAGCCCAGCCCTGTGAAAAATCCTCGCTCCTGAACTGTGTGCTGTTCCAAGTTGTTAAGATGGTTCATTTTATGTCACTTTTTAAAACCACAATTAAACCTAAAAATGAAAAAAGGAAGGAAATTCTGACACATGCTACAGCTTGGATGAACCTAGAGGACAGTATGTTCAGCGGGAACAGACCAGTACTACAGGCATCCAAACACTCACCACCATGCCAAGGAGAACAGCGGCTGCAGGGGCTGGGGATGGTTAAGAAAAACGGTTAAGAAAGAGCCTGGTGGTGGTGCACACTGTAATCCCAGCAACTTGGGAGGCTGAGGCAGGAGGATCACAAGTTTGAGTCCAACCTGGGCAATTTAGCAAGACCTTATCTCAAAGTAAAAACTAAAAAGGCCGCTCAGTGGTAGATCTCTTCCTGTGTTCAACCCCTACTACAGCCAAAACAACAACAACAATGATGCGACAAAAAGTTACGATGGGAGACTTTCTGTGTATATTTTTCCCCAATTTAAACAAACATCTCAGGCCAGGGGGTTGGGCAGGAGTGAGGCCGGAGGCCACCTATCAGGTGACCTGTGTTTTCTCCACAGTCAGGAGGTGAGCAGTCAACACCAATTACCCCTGAAGCTTCTCACACATCCCCATCCCGGTCCAGCTGTTGATATCAGGCGGCCCTTCCACCTCCCTGGTGGGGGAAGGAGGCTACGCCCACGTGGCCTTCACCAGCATTCCCTCTCCTCCATCCAGGTACAAGGAAAAAAGCACTGTCCCGCCCACTTGTGCAGCCATGTGACTTGCTCTGATCAAAGAAACAGGAGCAGGATTGACAGGTGTTTCTTCTGCCCCTCCTACGGGTATAGCCATGTGACTCGCTTTGACCAATGAAATGGGAGATTTGACAGTCTCTTGTATCCAACCCACTCCTGCAACCATGTGATTTACTTTGACCAATGAAAGGGGGAAAAGTTTGACAGCGTTCCTTCTACGGGGAAGTCTTAGAAGCAGGTTCAGATGATGCTATTTTTCCTTCTGCCAGCTGGGCCAGCCACGTGCAAAATGGAGGCTGGGTGAGAAGCAAAACCTCTGATATAGCTTGGTGTGGTGTCCAAGGCCTGTACTCCCGCCCTTGGGAGGCTGAGGCAGGAGGATTGCTGAGTTTGAGGCCAGCCTAAGCTATGTACTGAGTTAAAGGTCAGCCTAAACTACATAGCAAGAGAGACCTTGTCTCAAAAACAAAAACAAAGCAAACCACCAACACCACCACCAACAACAACAACAAAACCTCTGATGCGTGAGATTCAGGAACCCCTCGTCCCTGCAGCAGAACTGCACCTGCCTTGACTTGGACCCCCTTCACCCTGATGGCTTCACACTGAGAACCCCAGAGCTGGAACCGGAGTGACTTGAACGGAGTGAACGTTAAGGGGCCCCAACACACGGTTAAACGTGATTTTTAAGGCCCTCTTTTTGAAAACCTCAAATTAATGCAAAAAATCCATGACGAATAAAACCGCAACATTTGAAATAAAGACAAGATCAATAAGAGGGCTGTGCAGAGACAGTGGAGCCTGAGGCAAAGGGCAAAATTCAATCTTTGTACTTCATTCGCCTTGCTCGGTCCCGCCCCCGTAAACACTCTTGAGAGCCTGCCTGGGGCTCTCTGTGGTCATGGGGCAGCGGCTGAATTCCAGGGCATGAACAACCCTGGGAACAACCCTCTATCCATCCATTTATTTATTTATTTATTCGCTTTTATTTTTGGCAGTACTAGGGATCGAACCCAGGGGATGTTGAGATAAACATTCAACCCTTTTACAGATTTTTTCTTTTTTGAGACAGGGTCTCCCTAGGAGATCCAGGCTGACCTTGAACTCACTGTGTAGCCCAGGCTGCCCTCTAATTTTTGGCAATCCTCCTGCCTCAGCCTTCCAAGTGATGGGATTATGGGCATGTACCACCATGCCCAGTTTAAAATTATTTTTTATTTTGAGGCAGCCTCCAAATCAACAAGTTGCCCAGGTTGGTGATCTTCCTGCCTCAGCCTCTCAGAGCGTTGAGATGACAGGCAAGGTGCAGAGTCT